GAAAGCCAGGGGGGTGCCCCCCAAAAATCCCTGCCCCCCCCCAGTGGCGATTGGGAGGGGCTGCTTTGATCCCCCCCCCCATTTCCGCAGCGGGAAACACCCAGAGAAGATTTTGGGTGAAAAACGGGTGATTTTGAGCAATTTCAAGCAGCGCCAGGAGCCGCTCGGTCACCGCCATCAAACAAACGCCCCGTCCTTAATTACGGCGCCGAAAAGGGGGGCTGGGTGACCCCAAAAATGGGCAGAATTACCCCAAAACAGGCCATCGCTGGAGAGGTAGAGAATTGGGGTGAAAAGGGGGAAAAACGGGGCAAAAGGAGTCAAGAAATTCATTTTTTTTGCCATGGTGCCGCGGCAAAGGGGCTGGGAATGTTTTGGCGGCGCTGCCGGGGACCGGTTTTTGCTTCCAGAAGGGTTTTTTTTGGTGGAAAATAAGGGGGAAAAAGGCAGGAAAAAAAAATAATAAATCCATCCGGCTGGTGGTGCCCGAGGGTCCAAAAAACACCCCAAACGGCCCCAAAATGGTGTTGGTGATGTCATTGTGAGTCCGAGGGAGGCGCCGCCAGTTTCTGGAGCCGTCGGCGCCGAAGCTCGGCCGTGTCGGGTTCGTCCAGCGAAGAGGAGCCTTCGGCGCCGCCGTCGTCTTCCTCCTCCTCTTCCTCCTCCTGGGCCAAGCCTTCGGCGCCCCCCGGCGCGGGGGGGTCTGGGCAAAACAGGGGGAAAAAAGCACTAATTTAGCCAAACCGGTAAACCCAGTTTGAAGAGCCAGCAGGACTGGGAGTGGGGGTTTGCCCCCAGTAAAAAATTTGGGGGAATTAATGGGAAATTTGGGGTTTAAAGGTGGTTTTTTGCTCCCCACTCACCGGTGGCCGCGGTGGAGCCGGAGGCCGTGGGGCCACTTGGGGGGCGCAGGGGGGTGGGTTCCTCAGTGGGGGGTCGGGGAGCGGTGGGTCGGGGTGTCCTGTGAGGAGAAAATTAATAAATTCAATTTTTTAGCAATTTCAGTGAGTGTTTTGGGTTTTGCCATAACCAGGATTTTGCCCTGTTGGCTCTAAATCCCCCCCAAACCCCCTCCCCAGTAACCAAAACCAGTTACCCAGTGGTGGCCAGGACCACCAGGTACTGGTCGATCTGGAATATTAATCAATAAATTCCATTTTTAAGCTATTTTTAAGCAATTTAGTGGGTTTGGGGGGCTTTGCTTTAAGTAGGATTTTGCCCCGTTGGCTCTGAACCCCCCCCAAAACCCTCCCCAGTAACCAAAACCAGTTACCCAATGGTGGCCAGGACCATCAGGTACTGGTTGATCTGGAACATTAATCACCAAATCTAATTTTTAAGCAATTTTAAAGCAATTTTTAAGCAATTTTAGTGGGGTTTTGGGGCTTTGCTGTAACCGGTTGGCTCTAAACCCCCCCAAACCCCCTTCCCAGTTACCCAGTGGTGGCCAGGACCATCAGGTACTGGTTGACCTGGAACATTAATCACCAAATCCAATTTTTAAGCCATTTTAAAGCAATTTTTAAGCCATTTTTGTGGGGTTTTGGTGGCTTTGCTGTAACTGGGATTTTGCCCCGTTGGCTCAAAACCCCCCCAAACCCCCTTCCCAGTTACCCAGTGGTGGCCAGGACCATCAGGTACTGGTTG